CTTAGAGGGGGCATTATGTATTTGTAATGAATACCACACATTTGGCGTGTTAATTTTCTAGGTTGTCATTACAGAAAGCCATTTTTTACACATGTTATTCTGAATATTTGCATTATGTCCATGTCAGATGCAACATCATTTGTCTGGCTACACAGTATGTCCCTGTTGCTGTCCTCAGGTTGCCACCTGCCAGGTGTCTACCCTGGTTAGGGAAGACTGGCTGGCGTTAGCTGTAGCACATGCCTTTTCTGTTGTGGCGCCCACTCTGTGGAATGGGCTTCCTGAGGAGGTGGACGAGGAAGTGCTGCAAAGCCCTTCCGTTAGCCAGAGGTGTAGACCACAGGTAGGGTTGCTAGGCATTGCCTGGCTACCAGCAGGAGCGTTGTGGAGGGCAGCATCCTGGGAGAAAAATTTAAAAGGTCAGGATATTCCTCACCGCCACTTGGGGCTTGGAAGCTCTAACGACAGGTATCTTTTTTAGGGGAGGAGGGTTTATTTGTAGTTTTATTTTATTCTGTGTGTTTTTAAATTTGATTTGGGATTTGTAAGCCACCTTGAAGGACAAGGAAATAAATGAATAAAATGGTGCCAAGCTGTCTTAATGAGTGGGAAATTCTCCAGTTTTCTGTGGTTGTGTTTCAAAGTCCTGACATGACAATTTAGTGTTGCTCTGATAAACTGCATTCAAAAGGTTTTAATGCAGTTAGACTAGGGTTGCCAAGTATTACCTTTCGCTGGAGCGGGGGACTCCCAGCTCTTTCCTGGAGCGCTCGCGCGCCACAACCACGTCACCCAGAAGTGACGTGATCACACTGGGCTTGCTGGGGGCGGGGCCACGACCATCCGAGGGGAAACCATAGAGTTTTCCCTCTGATGACCTTGGCCCCGCCCCCAGCGTGCTCGGCGTGGTCGCGTCACTTCCGGGTGACGTGCACGTCACGTACTTTGGGGGTGGGGTTCCCCCGGGGCCCGATCCGCTGGCGGCGGGGAACGGGTCTCTGGGGTGGGGGTTTCCCCGCCCCCCGGGGGAGGGGGACTTGGCAAGCCTAAGTTAGACAGTAGCCATGCTATACAAGGGCAAAAGCTTTGGAAACAACATTAACAACTGCTGTGTGTGTGGGGGGGGGGACGGCTCTATGAACTGTCATGATTTAAAAACATGAACTTGCCATTCAACACATGTTACATTCAGCAGTGTTCTACACGTGTGGCAGTTATCACAATCAAACACCAGCAAAGTGCTAAATGTAACAGGCCAGACTCGAGATGTTCCCAAAGTGAAGAGGAGGCCTTAGCAAGAGACTTTCTTACCTGCTTGATTGGAATTGTGAGGACTGGCACCTTACCCTCAATGCTGACATTCTCTACACCCCGAATTCTTCCCAAGTTTTGATGCTTGCATTGGGCAAGAATAGGCACTCTGAAAATAAGCAGGCCTGGCTATGGAGAGTACAAGCACTTGGAGCCTGGGGAAGGAGGGCGTTCTCATTAGCCCTTGGAATTAGCTGTTACAAGGCAGGGAACAGCTGGAAGAGGCCTATCCAACATCACAGCCTTTTCTCCTGAGCCCAGCATCATGGAGTGCTGAGCCACAACACTCTTTAGAAAAGCTCCTAAGCACCAGGTGCTTCCTGTTTTTAGCAGGGCAAAATTTTTGCTGGATGAGACATTGCTCCCTGCAGACACCAAACATGTGACGGAGCAAGGTTGAATGGGCTCCGGCACAAAAAAACAGTCAGCAAAATGCGTGCATGTTTTTTTTTTTTTTGGGGGGGGGGGTTATTAGCTCATGCATTATGCTTGCCTAGGCAGCTACAAATACACATTTTGTATTAGAGTGCTGTGTATGCATGTTCAGTCACTGCCTATGTTTCTGTGGCATTCGATCATGCACATCTAGTCACTTTGCCCTGGGCATCCCGCAACAGGTAGCTTTAATTCTCAATAAAGAGCTTCTGCTTCAGTTTTTGCACATGTCAGGGTATTGAGTTAACCCATGGAAAGCAGTGTGTGTGGGGGGGGGGAGGTCATGAGAAATCAAGAAGATGACATTTGGCAGGGAGCAGAGGAGAGGGGAAGATTTTGATTTCCAAACCCAAACTTCCTTTTGACTCTGGAGATGGCATACTGCTCTGGAGGGGCTGTGGAAGGTCAGTAGTTCAGCAGTTCGAGACCCGGGTGCCGCATGACGGAGTGAGCTCCAGTCTCTAGTTCCAGCTCCTGCCAACCTAGCAGTTCGAAAACAAGAAATTGCAAGTAGATCAATAGGTACCACTTCAGTGGGAAGGTAACAGCGTTCCGTGCGCCTTGGTGTTTAGTCATGCCAGCCACATGACCATGGATAAGTCTTCGGACAGCGCTGGCTCTTTGGCTTGGAAACGGAGATGAGCACTGCAACCCTAGAGTCGGATTCGACTGGCTTTCGAGCAAGGGACCCTTTCCCTTTCCCTTTCCCTTTACTTTTACCCTATGGAGGAAAAAGTATTTGGGAGCCTTAATGAGCACTCTGAGGTGCCCAAGCCTTGTGTTTTTGCAAGCAGTTCCTGGCATAAACACATCCCTAGCTGCTTGTTTCTGCATCTGCTGTGAGCGCTATTTACTGGAATAAGCCTCCACGGCTTGGGCTAAACTTATCCGTACACTGGGGGAAAGGAGTTGGCCCGCCCTCTGTTGGAGTCTCCGGTGAATGTGCCTGTGGGCTCCTAAGCAAAGCACAGTTTCTTATCCTGTTAACCGTTTGCTTCAAAACATGTTATTCTTCTGTCCCCCTGCTATTTAAAGCAGGTGTGTCTTTGCCCCCAGGCCCAGGTTCCCCCGCTTGGGGATTGCATCAGGCAATTCTTGCCAATGTGTACTACTCTCTCTCCCCCACCCCTGTTTATTTTTATTCTCTCCTTGTTCTCCTGTGCCGTGGGCGGTCAGGGTCGTCCTCTGAGAGTAACCTTGGTGTTTGCAATAAAACATTTCACCCTCTGCCTTGCCAAGGTGCAGAAAAGCCACTCACTGAAGGTTTAGTGACGCCATAGCTGTGGTACTAACTGAACTCCAGGATAGGTGCAGTTATGATATTTCCATCATACGTGCCCCTTTGCCACAAAGGTGTGTGGGAGATTCTAGTGGGTCCCCCTTAGGCTGGTCTGTGAAATTCCTGATGATTGATCTTTGGCTTCATGCAAGTCCTCCAGGTGATTTCCTTGCACTAGGACAGAGCTGGATTTCTAGGTCAGACACACTGAGAAAGCCATCATTTGTTGGCATGCTTTCACATGCCAGCCAGGTGCTCTGCAACTCCGGCTTCATGGGGATCTCTAAATAGAGAGGCCTTAATTGTGTTTTTCTCTCACACCTGGAGCGACAAGGTTGCACTTCTTCATAGTCCTCATTTATAGCTAAGAAAGGAGGTGGACTAGTGTTGAATCAGCTGGGCTGCACCTCCTCCCTAACGTGGCAATTCACACTCTGCCCTTTAGTTTTAAGTATGCTTGTTGCCTGTGAGGAGGTAAAGGATAGGCTTTCCTCCTTGTGTTTCATGGGGAAAACCCATTCTCATTATAATAATTATAAGCACTGCAAGGAAATTAAAGGGAGCACATGTGGTTCTTCCTACCTTCCCCATGCTGTTTTTTTCTTTATAGCAACCCTCCGTTAGGGCAGTTCAGAGATAGTGATTTGGTCAATGTCACTCAGTAAACTTTGTGGCTGTATCTAACTCCAGGCCCCTCCTCCAGGCCCAAGTCTAGTAGTTTATCCGCCACGCTGCCTCACATAGGCTCTCTGATTATAGTGCCCACTTTTCCGCCCACTTTAGGATGAGAGCAATGGCAGTGTCTCTTGAAAATGTTGCTCACAGAGGAGGGTGGATCTCATGAGTGCTGCATAAAGGTCCTCTTTTCATGCTGATAGCCCTCACTGTTAGGTGCTCGTCCCACATTGCCTTCCCAAATGGTTTGTGTTCCCCCTTGCCCCTATTTGAAGGAGCCAAGAATCTCAGCTGGATCTAACAGGCAAATCCAGGCACATGTGCCACCAGTTGTGCAGCATCTGCTTTGAGCCATAATGACATTGAATGTTTAATTTGTTTAACAAATGCACTTCAAATAATAAGAAGTTTGTGTGAGTATTAACAGGGGAAAGGCCTGATCTTCCTGTTCTGATAATACCTTTTCCCACTGTAGAGAACAAGGCTGTTTGCACTATAGGATGTGGAACCAAGAACTCTGACTATCTGTCATGTTTCAATTTACCATTATTTCTTGAAGGGGTGGGGGGCAAAGACGTCATAATCCCATTCTAAAAAAGTGTGTGTTCACTGTATAACAGGTATCCCTGAACAATTTTTACAGCAGTACCCTGGGTGTATTCACTTATGTAAACAAAGCCATGATGCTGTACCATCTTTGCAAATTCTTCAGTGTTAACTGGCCTTGCCACTTGTAAAGAGGGGTGTCGAGAATCAATGTCCATTCTGAGGTCCAGCTGTAACATTTGCATGGTATGCAGTATTTTAATGGAACTCACGTCCAGCAAAGCACGATAGCATCACGACTGGAAAGTATAAAAGGGATAAGGGAAGAAGCAAATGTTGAGAGAAGCTTGGCCTGGCCAGGTGGGAGCCTAGTGCAGGAGTCCAGTTTGGCAAGGAAGGCAGAAGCATGAAAAATCAGACTTGGCAGGGTTGAGTTGGAATACTGGCAGATGATAAGCAACAGGCTAGAGGAGTCGCTTGGCTAAAGCACATGGTTTGATGGGAACAGGAAGCTTATAGTGAAAGACTAGCCAGTGGAATGTGTCCCTGAAGAACATACTTTAGGAGCTCTTGGTTTACCCTTGCGGAACTCTTGTGTATGGGATAAAGTTTACGTGTTGTACCCAATTAGGCTTGTTTGTGTTAACCATGGCATACTGAATCTGAAGATATCAATCGGTGTTTCTAAATGCAGGCGTGCTTTCTCTTGTATCCATATTGTTTCAAAACCAGTTGTCTTTCACTCTTTTTACAGGATTGCCCACAGATCCTTCCCTCCACCCAGATATATATTCCTGTGGGTGTGGTGAAGCCCATCACATTGACAGCTAAAAACCTACCGCAGCCACAGTCCGGTCAGCGCAATTATGAGTGCATCTTCCATATCCCCGGCAGTCCCACACGTGTCACTGCTCTGCGCTTTAACAGCACCAGCATCCAGTGCCAGAACACCTCGGTGAGTCCACTTGCATGCAGCTGTCCTCTGAAAAGGTAGCTTTGTCTCTGATACACATGTTGGCCTGAGATGTGCAAGACTCCAATAGGAAACCGAAGTCTGTTTTCTCATCACAAAAGACCTCACTTTCTGAGTTTTCCTCCTAGCAGCTTCTCTGGTAAAAGGTCACTCTGGTTGTTTCTTGCTACCTTTTGTTCTTTATTAGAAGACTTGAAATGTGTTCATTGTATTCTTTGTGGCATGGGAAGGAATCCCGATCCTTTTTCTGCAATAGTGTTATCCATTCTCCTTTCTTTCTGTTTTTCTTTCCCTTCAGCTGTGTGAAATTGTTCTGTGCAGGATCAACATCCCCTCCTTCCTCTGCTGCTGAGCCAAAGCTACCCAAGGGGACTGTGCTGTGTTTTATGAGCATTTCCAAAGAAATTTGCTTATGAAAGCCAGAGAAACCTGCCTAGGCTTGAGCCAGCTTTGCTGGTGTCCCAGAGGAACTCTCCCGTCCTTCTCTGTACCCTGCCCACACTTGGACTGATCCCACTTTACAAATAGAATTTAGTTAATTCTTGTTTATATCTAGCGTTGTACACTTCCCCACCTGCTCATGCAAGAGTAGCTTCACTTCCTCAGGTTATATTCCCGCCATTTCTACACAGCCTTGCCTTAGTCTGCTGGTCTGATTCTTTATCTTCCCCACAAAATTCGGTTTGCTGTTTTCATTGCTAATCTAAAGGACCCCTTTTGTCCCAATGCAGGATCTTCCTAACAGCCCCTTAGCACCGAATCTATTGCCTCTGCTAGGAAATAGGCATTAGAATAGCTTATAGCAGTTTGTTGTCTGGTTTGTGCTCTGCTGATTAAACAACTCTGCCCACACCCTCTAAACGTTTCAGGTTCCCGTGGCAATGCTTCCCCACTTATCACCACTTACACTGTATCATAGCTGCTGTGCTGGGAAATAACAAGTTTTGTCAGGCCAGCTCAGTGATCTCACGTGATCCGTTCAGTAAGTTCTCCACGCTTCACCATACTCTCAGTAGGGGAGCTCTGATAGTAAAACCCTTAGTAGTCCCTTCATCTACAGAGCATGCCTTTCCTTTGGCTGACCTGCTGGGCCACCTTCCAATCTCCACTCGTTTATTTGAGAGCAGACCCTCCTCCTCCTCCTCCAGCCTCTGTTTTAATCCTCTCAAAAATGTTCTTTTTCTGTCATTTGCACTGTGAACGCTCATTTGCAGCCTAATGTGAGCAGCATTCCCTGCTCTCCTGCCCTTCAGCAGTACAGGGTGGGGTGGGGGACGTTGCAAAGCTATTGGAGAACTAACGTGTGCTTCACATGATGTTTCTGTTGTCTGCTTGCTGCCAGTCCCCCCACCCTCGTTTTTTTTTTTTCTTGGACTAAACTTAGGGCGAGAGATCTTGGAGAGCACCATTGCTCTCTTCTTCTCTGGCAAGACCGTTTGCACATACCAAGGAAAAAAGTACTCAACCAGAAGGGTTCTTTATCTGAATAGTGAACGCTGTTTGAATATTTTCAGCTACAGAAATAAACAGCGTGGTTGGAAATGGATGCAAACTACAAAATCATAACTGATATTTCAAGGATCCTGAAAGTAGCTTTTCAGTCTGGTTAATTGCCAACAATGCACCTTGTTTATGTCAACAGAGTAGAGATAACCTCAGTAGGAGTGTTCCTTCTGTTGACCCTCTTGCTTTTAGACATAGAAGAGAAGAAGAGATTGGATTTATACCCCACCCTTCACTACCCAAGGGAGTCTCAGAGCGGCTTACAAACTCCTTTCCCTTCCCCTCCCCACAACAGACACCCTGTGAGGTGGGTGGGGCTGAGAGAGCTCTTGTTAGGCAGCCACAACAACAGTGTTTAACCTTCCAAGCCTTGCGTTCTGAAAACAAAGCTGTGGATGGGAGAGTAAGGGTGGACCAAAAACAGTCCTGGAAAAGGTCCTGTTCTGTCCCCCTTCATTGTCGTGTTCTCTGGTGGAAGAGGACTCACCAGGGACAGGCCCAGAGGCTCATTATCCATACAACTCAGCCTGGCCTGGGCAGTGATGGACACAACACAACTCAGCCTGACTTTGGGCTAGTGATGGCTGCCGCACAACTGGGCCATCTACAACTTGGCCAGACGTTTGCTGAGAACGGGCTGCCAGGGGGAGGTAAGGATGAAAAGCTGAAAATGGGGTGGGGCAGATAAAAGGTAGGTTGGCTGGTGTTCCCAGAACAGAAGGAAGCAGGAAAAGGGGAAAGGCTTTTGGGGCTTTCAGGAAAAGGAAAGAGGAAATAGTGGGGGAGGGTGTGGGAAAATGAAATGCCCCCTGCAAGTCCTTTAGCATCCCCCCCCACTTGTATAATCATAATAGTAATAAAAATAATCACACAACATGATTGTGTGATTAATCATACAACAGGACAGGGCTGAGCAGCTAAACTTACTGGTTGGAACACACTCTGTCCTCTGAAGCAACAGCAGATGAAAGAATATAAAGATACAAGATTAAACTGAGTTGACCTATAGTTTCCTTTTTGATAATTTGTATAGAAATTAAGGACATATCCATAAAGGATTAAATGGAGGGTAAGTGAGATTGAATCCTCTCATACCAAACATATGCACACATACACTTGCAGATTGCCCTTTGCACAATGACAATGAGCCTTTGGAGGCAGGTTGATCATCCTTGTTGATAGCACAGCTCTGCCACTCTCCCAATCACTGTCTTCAGAGGTCAACTGAGCTGCCATTTCCACAGCAGGAAGCCAGTTACACAAAATACCTGCTCAGCCATCTGAGTGCTGTTACTGAAACATATCATATATTCTAATAGCGAAGTCGGCCAAATCTAAGGATACTTAAACCCAGTGATTGGAGCTGTGAACAGTTAAGACAGATCTTTCTACAAACCTGAAAACGCCCCAAATTTGCAGAAAATCTGAACTCTTTAAAAAACAACACTGGAGGATTAAAAAAAAAGCCAAGTGATAAAAGGAGTGCCTGTATGCTTAAAGAAACGGATTCTTTCAGAGGCTATTACTAGCAACCATAGCATTTCAGGCTTGGTTTCTGTGAGTAAAGGGCAGGGGGAGGGGTCAAGGTCCTTTCCAGGTATATTTTGAACACATGAAGCTGCCTTATACTAAATCAGACCCTTGGTCCATCAAAGTCAGTATTGTCTATTCAGACTGGCAGTGGCTCTCCAGGGTCTCAGGCAGAGATCTTTCACATCACCTACTGTCTTGTCCTAACTGAAGATGCAGGGACCTGGGACTTTCTGCAAGCCAAGCAGAGGCTCTGTCACTGAGCCACAGCCCCTTGGCCTTTGATGGAGGACTCATCAGAGGCCTGGTAGCACCACTGGGCGACTTGATACCACCTGACTTGCATGTTCAGCAGCAGCCACCTTATGAAAGCCAGTGTGATGTAGTGATCAGAGTTTCAGAGTAGGATTTGGGGGACCAGGGTCGAATCCCCATCTTGTTGTGGAAGCTCACAACAATCTCTGGTGGTTTTGGGCCAGTCATATACTTTTAGCCTAACCCCTCTTACAGGTTGTTGTGAGGACAAAAAGGTGGAGAGGAGAATAATGTAAGCTGCTTTGGTCCCCACTGTGGAGAAATGTGGGGTACAAATAAAGTAAATAAGATAGGGTGGTGAATGGTTGAGAAGGAGAGTATGAGGCAGGGAAAGGGGAGAGGATATGGGGGATTCCAGGAGGAGACAAAGAAGAACTGGGGAAATGATACAGAGGAAAGTGAGGTACTCCTCCATAAGTCCTTGAGGGTTCCCTGCAATGTAAGTGGGCTAGCCCAGTGGCTGACAGCACACAACTGGGCCATAATTTTTCTATGTAGAGGCTACTGGGAGAGAGGGGAAAGCTGATGGTATGGGGGGCAGATTGGGATGGCAGTTGGGATGGAAGGAGAGAAGGAAGCAGGAAAGGGGGAGAGACTGTGAGAGTTTTCAGGGAAGGGAAAGAATGGGGGAGGGGGAAATAGTATGCCTCCCGCAAGTCCTTGTGGGTTCCCACTTGTAGGTAGCCTAATCACCTCTTGTTTGCGACGTGTGAAATGGGGCAGATTGGGAACTGGGGGAATCTGCTGAAGAGCAAGTGCTTCATAGGAGCCATGTTCATCTGACTATAGGTCAACTCAGTTTAATCTTGTATCTTTATATTCTTTCATCTGCTGTTGGAGTCATGGGAAAGAAAAGGGAGTTTCTGGGTTTCTGGGCAGTTTCAAGGGACTAAGCTTGCTGTTGCTATAACTTTTGTCTCACTTCAGTTGTATTTTCCTGTTGGAGACTCACATATGAACCACCTTTGAATCATTCCACAGACATATATGTGTCTTATTTAACTCAAAGTGAGATTTCTCAGATGAGAAATGTAAACCAACACTCATTTTAGAGTTTACAGGTAAGTACCCACGTTGGTCTGAAGCAGTAGAACAAAGTTTTTTTTTTTTTAAATATTTTTTTTATTTTCCTTTTCACATGCTTACAACACAAATCACACTTTTTATAATGCTGTATAATCTGTTACAACCTCTTGTACATCATATCACTGGCAATGGCTGTTAAGTTATAATGGTTATAGAAACTAAATGATTTCCCCCCGTCATTGCCAGTGCACGCTTAACACACTATTTTTTCTTTCCTTAAACTCCAACTCAAATTATACTCACTTAATAAAATGATAGTTATTGTTATCCCAAAGAATTTCTCTCATATCTTATCTATAATATATTATGCCTTTTAATTACTCTTAAATAAAAAGAATAATCAGCGGCCACAAAATTTAAATCTTCGTGGCGGAGTTCTTGGGGATTGCCACCTCTATATGGGGCTTTGGAAATTCCAAAGGGGGTCTTCCTCTAAGGCCCCACCCTCTGGGAGGTGGTAGGGGAGTAGAACAAAGTTTGAAGCCAGTAGCACCTTTAGAACCAACAAAGTTTTATTCTTCAGATACATTGAAATGGAAGTTACCAGT